AACTCCTCTGCTAGGCCCATCACCTCCTCTAAAGACGCGCAGGCGTATGGTCTTATGAACATCTTCATCCTTGGCATGCAGTTTTCGACGAGCCTCTCGATTACTTCTTTCGTGGTTTTCCCTAATGGTTTCATTAGTGACTGAAGGTCCACCATGTACTCTTTGAAGGGCTCTCCGTGACGCTGCTTCCGTTGGCGAACTTGTCCGCCATCTTTTCGTCCGCCAACTTTTCGAAGTATCCTTTCGGCAGGAAAAAATTCTCGAAGCTTGCCTTGAACCTCGCCCATGTTGGCCATTCTTCGTCGTTCATGATGAACCATCTTTGGGCCCTGCCCTGCAGTAGTTCTGGCATGGCTCTGGGGATCGTGTTTATGTCAAATCCGTATGTCTTTGCGGACCACGTTACCCGGCCCAGAAACTCTAATGGGTCCCCTGTGCCGTCGAACCGACCAGTCTCGCACCTGTCTGGCCACTTTGGCGTAATCCACCGGGGCCGAAACATACTTTCTTGATTGCGGCTCTATGCTCCTTCCCATTCTTGGATCTGGTACCGCCGGGCTATAAACTTCTCAGTCTCGCTGGCTGCTCTCTGCCTGGGAGTTGATCTTTGTCCAAGCCTTTCCTCTAGGCCGTGCGTTAACGCCAGTACTTCCTCTTCCTTGGATTCGTCGACCCACCTCGCCACTGAGGATCTCATCGCTTCCACAGTCCCGTCTGCTGGTAGACCGAGCTCTCTACACACTTCGCTCAGCGCTTCCTTTCTCCTTGTGTAGATCCAATTCTTTTTTCCCATCTTTCTGCTATGTTATTTTCTAGGCTAAATGCAATCACGAAGTTTGGGCGCCAGGTGTAACGAACTGTCTTTTCTGCTTCCGCTCGCCACAATTTGCCGCGGCTAGCTCACAGAGTTTCGCGGATCCGTTCCACCGAATTTATAGATTCGACGTGATTGCCCAAGCCCAGAAAGTAATACAAATAGCTTGAAGTTTCCACACTCTTTATTTTGAGACCTTTTTACACTACAAAAGGCTTTCTTTCTCTTTTACTCGTTGCTCCTTCGGTTCCTGCTGGCTCCGTCGTCGGCGCCCTATACGAGTTGTCCAGGATACGCCGCCGCTACTCCGCCGCCGCCGTTACTCCGTCGCTGATGGTACTCCTGTCGCCGCGCTGCCAGCGATTCCGCTACCCTCTGCCCTTTGGCCTTGAGAAAACACCCCCTTGGGTCGACTACGACTGATCTGACGGTTGGCTGCGGTCGGTCGCCTCCGCTACACCGGGACACCGTGCATACGCTCCGGCACCAGGTTTGGAAGTTTCCGTGTGACGTCTCCGCTACACCGGGACACCGTGCATACGCTCCGGTGCCAGGTTTGGAAGCCGCCGTGCGCCTGATCGTATTGTCGCGCTCCCGCTACACCGGGACACCGTGCATACGCGCCGGCGGACCCGAGTTTGTAGTGGCGGGGCTGGTGACCAGGGTGTTCTCACTTGGTCTGTGACTTGGACGCGAGTTCTTGAGTCGGCCGATCCGAGTTTCGCAGGACCACGCCTGTTGGTTGCGATTCCAGGAGTCGCTTCACTTCCTTGCAAGGCTACCTGCCGTGTTCGGGAATGGCTCAACTCGACTCTGACGCCTCGGGCTTGTAGAGGAAACCGTCAAGCAACGGATCCTTGTCTCCCTTGTTCTGTACGTCTTGTGGTTACCGGGCGTGTGATCCCCAGTAGGCCTCCTTGTTTCGCAGGACCACGCCTGTTGGTTATGATTTCAGGAGTCGGTAAGGCATACGTCAGACTTATCCTTTCCTCACTTTCTTGCAAGGCTACCTGCCGTGTTCGGGAATGAACCAACTCGACTACACCACCCTGGGTTTCCAGAGGAAGGTCCAGCAATGGATCCTTTTCATATTGTCTTATTCGCTCTCCTTGCGCTTGGCTGTCGGACTCTCCAAAGGCGGTCCTTCAACTCAAACAAAACCGTTTCTTTTTAGAGCGCTCTATCACTTGAATGGCGGACTCTCCACAGGCGGTCCTCCAACTCAACGCTACAAGCTTCCTAAAAAGACTCCTCTCGAGCCGCTCCAATGGGCCTCCTTTTATACTGACTGGAGCGCCCGTTAATCCTCCTGGATTCTGCTCCTGCCGTTAATCCTGCTTCCAGAATCACGCCACTTTCCCATTGGCGGGTCGCTGTCCGTGGCCCCTCGTCTCCCCCGGCCAAGGATCTCTGCTGCTGGTACGTGGAGCACCGGTGGGCTTCCAGGTACCGTTGCACTCTTCGTCGCACCCCCCCCCCTATGCTCCTTGCCGCTCACCCCGCAACACTTTCTAAGGCATGCCTGCGCATCGTGCTGATTACCCCACTGGACTACTTTCCCAACGTTGCCCCGGGACCCGTTACGTTCCACGTCGATTCCTTCTTCCCCCGGGTGGCGCCGTTTACCCTTTCACCTGCCACCGTTACGTTCCACGTAGATTGCGTCCTCCCACGGGTAGCCCTTCGCCGGAACCCACGGTAACTGGCTTTCACCTTTCCCCCCAACCCCCCGTACTGATCCTGGCGACATTCCGTCGGGCTGCCCGGGTTCATGACCGGTGGTTGACCCCCTTTTCCGCCTCCTTCGGCCCCCCCTTGCCTCCGGCTATCTGTCTTAGCGTGTGGGGAGACTAAATCTCCTCATCAGCTCATCAATTTTGGAATGCGAATCATTTCCAATGACGCAGCTATCACATTGCCACATTAAGTTCGGAATGTTAATAAGTAGTTTTATAGCCTTCGAGGGCAAATCAACAAAAGCGGTGTTATAGGGACGCCGGCAGATCGACGCGCGCCGAACTGCCTCACACCCACGAAGTTGGGTAGCATTAACTTCTGCACTGCACTCGGTGCAAACGAGAGGCGACATGAGCGAAAAAGTAGACGTCCGAACTCAAAGAAAGCTAGATGAAGACTGACCAAAAGCTAGTTTGTACCAAAAACATTTTCGATTGTTCAGTTATATTGCAGCTGTAAGATATAGTCGGCCGATCGTTTTTTTTTGTAGAAATCGTGAAATTTTGTAGGTTGGATTAACTGACCAAATATAGAACCTGGACTAAGCCAGCTTTCTATCTTCAAAAATACGAAAGTTGGGTCATTTGCGATCGTTCAGTTATATGGCAGCTATAGGATATAGTCGGCCGATCCTCATAAAATTTGGAATGTAGTATTATTTTGCCAAAAGTAGCTCTCATGTAAAATTTGAACTCTAAAAACACCAAAGTTATACCATTTTCTATCAATCAGTTCTATGGAAGCTATAGGATATAGTCGGCTGATCCGGGCCGTTCCGACTTATATACTGCGTGCAAAGGAAAGAAGGGTGTTTGCAAAGTTTCAAAACGATAGCTTTAAAACTGAGAGACTAGTTCGCGTAGAAACAGACAGACTGACATGCTTATATCAACTCAGGAGGTGATCCTGATCAAGAATATATACACTTTATAGGGTCGGAGATGTCTCCTTCACTGCGTTGCACACTTTTGGACAAAATTATAATACCCTCTGCAAGGGTATAAAAATGGCTTTTTACCAAGACAATGCACCCTGCCACAAGTCGATGAAAACAACGGCCAAATTGAACGAATTGGGCTTTCATCTGCATCCCCACCTCCATACTCGCCAGATTTAGCCGCTAGTGAATACTGGTTTGTTGATGATCTTAAAAAAATTCTCCAACGAAAAATATTTGGCTCAAATGAGGAGGCCATCGCAGAAACTGAAAAGCGTTGGAAAAATTGTAAAGGCGTTGGAACGATTGTATCACTCTAAAAGGTGATTAAGTACATATTTTGTTTTGTTGTACGTATGTTACGTATATTTTTTTGTATTGTTAGTCTCGGGACTTATTGATCCATGTGTTACCGAGTCTAAAAATTGTTCTACAAAGACAAAATAGTTTAGTAACATGGATGCTATAGAATATAGTCATCCAATCCATATGCAATATACATATCACTGCTTTGCTTTTTTTTAGAAAAAAAATTAGAAAAGCCTAGCTAGCTAGCTTCTAGAAGAGCTAACTTTAAAAATAAATATTACAACACTACAACATGATTTCAGTACCTGATATAAAAGTATCAAAGTTACGGCATTTTCGATCAATCAGTTGTATGACAACTATATTTTGTATAGTTTACAGTAGAAAATTAGAAAATAGAAATAAAAATCAATATAATTTAGATCAATAGAATTTTCGATCAATAGAAAATTACAGTAGAATCCGGCTATGACGACTCCGCTTATAGAGGCCGTCGGGTTATTGCGACGAAAACTCGATGGTTTGGTTGGTCCACATACAAACTTATATGAAAGGAACTTCACTTAGAACTTTTCCGCTTTTAGCACAATCCGCTTATACCGAAAAAATTTTTCACAACCCAACTGGATATTGTGAAGTTCCGAAAAAAAATATGTACAGCGAAGTACATCACACGACGCTGTAAGAAATGTATGTATTTATAGGTGATAGGCACCCTTGCCTGTGTGCGTAGCAGCGACACAAAAAAAAAAGCTATCGCGTTAGTAACGCTGCTGCGAGATAGTCGAAGTTGAATTAAATTTATACAATTTTTTTTTTTGATTAAAAAATTAATTTGTTTTATTTTAGAAACCTATTACGAACATGGCAACCATAAAATAAACAACAAAATTATTTTTTTTTTTTATCCTTTTGGTTAAAGCGCTGTCCGGATATAACGACGTAAAATCGTTTGAAAGTCGCTATAACCGGATTGTACTGTAATTTTTCCTCTTCTTTTCCTTGAATACTTGTCAATTGTCGTTAAACTTATTTAACAATTTTATTAGGTTCCAAAGGTGTAATTTTTACACCCTAATATGAGATGACTAATATGAGTCGCTATTAGGTGACGATTTTTAATTATATTTACCGTTTAGTTTTTCATTTATTTGGACTTCATAAAATAACTTAGTTATAAATATATACTTGTACGATTTTAAATTTACATCTTAATTCGTTTCAGATTTATTAATTACAATAAAGTTTTTACATTTTTATCAGATTTTTGATAAAACTAAAACATATATTTTTTAATCGATAGCTTATCTGCTGGGGATCCCCAATTGATGTCACCATATTGGGAATCCCAATAAATTTAGTCCGCATATACAACATAAGGGACATGATTATTCATAATATTGTTATGTAACTCCATTTTAATAAAATTTTCTTCACTTGAGTCCATAGAAGAAGTGACATCTTGACGTGAACTGGCATTTGAAGTCGAATTCCTTCTAAAATATTATATAAAATAAAGTATTATAAAATAGCAAATTAAATAGGAATATCTACCATCGGGCGGAGCCGATGTTGATATACCCTTGCCGTTAATAATGACATTTAAGTGAGATCCAGTGAGACGAAAAGCAAGTTTTGAGTCCTATACTTCCTACTGCAAAACCATAAAATTTACGACATCCCTGATCGTTCAGTTATATGACAGCTTTTGGATATACTTCACCGATCCGTTTAATTAGACAGCAAGAAGCACAGCGTTGCTTATTAGAAATGTAAATGTTTTATATGTTACTGTACGCCTTTATTTGGTTATTTCAACGATTTTTTGTATTAGTGTATCGTTTTACTTTGGAAATGAAATAAAAAAATTATTTTTTACGTGAGAGTTTTATGTTTATTTTTTAAATAATGTCAGAATCCCTACATGTACTGAGCTTATTTGGGTTGCAGGGGTTGGTTCATGAATTTATTTGATGAAATTTCTTTTATTACTAAGAGATTGCGTCAGTATATTCCTTCGCTGTCCATTTTCCTCCCCGATACACCAAAGGCTGCCAGCATGACTTTTTTGCAGCTCCAACACGCCGTAGATTCGCGATGGTGTACGTTCCCGACACGTATTTAGTAGCGTCCCTGCCCTCAAGGGAACCAGCTCGGTCCACTTGTAGAACCCATCCATCATGCGTCAGCCTCTGACCTGCTGCCTTTAAATGGCTGGACTTGTACCGCTGGTAAACTTCGCATGTAAATATTTTTTTTGATTGCTCCATTGCACTATGGGGTTTTTGACCACTTTATGTGGCATTTAATCATTTTTTGAAAGTTCTCTGATATAAAAAAAATTAATGGGAATGTATTAAGAAAACATCAAACTATTATGCCTCATACTCAAAATGTTAATTCTTAACAGCATATGTTAGCATAACAGCTGCAAAGTCAGCTGTTGCATCCGAAAGCACGTGCGCTAAGTTTGCAATTTTCACATAGTGATCTGTGAAATTAGATTATTTGTTTAAAACTCCATTTAAAAAATAAAAAAGGAATGGACACTGATTTCACAGGTTTGTACTACATGTTAAATGTATTAACTGTTTAAATTGTGTGTGTCTATACTAGAGGTCTGCATGAATACAGTCAAAGCAGCATTTGACACTCTCACTCAAAGTTCTGACTGACTGAGTGAGACATTGAGTAAAACGGATTTGGCAAATGTGGTAAAGGCATGAGTAAAAAATTCCCTCTATCCGAACGGCGACGCAATAACCAAATGAGTTTTTTAACCGAGTACTCGGTTAGTTGTGCGTCGCATTTGTGACGTCAAATTTATTTTTTGTTTTTGTTTTTGTGTTGCTTTTCAATACAAGAAATAGAAAAATATAAAGGCATGGATTAATTATAATATATACATATATATGTCATTTATTTAATTTTTTATAACAGAATGCAAAAAAAAAAATAATTTTTTTAATTGTATCTGCATTGTTAGCAATAATACATGGCTTTTCAGAAATTAAATTTCTAGCATCTGAAAAGGCTCTTTGCAGGTAGCTCCTTGCTACCTGCTTGCCGAGCTGCTTGCAGGTACACAAAAAAATGTGCAACTAGTTTTAGCTTCTACTCTACCTTCCATGAATGACGAGAATGCCAAAATTTTATCCGAGTACTCGAAGCATTTAGTCTGCATTCACTCATTCTATCCATTCCACATTGGTTTGAATTTCACTCATTTCACATACAACGAAAACAACCCTTACCAATCCGCAATTCACTTTGTTGAAATGGTTTGGCACGCTCAATTGCGACTTAAACTTATTGTACTCAAATAACCGAAAATTTTGAGTGCAATCATGCAGACCTCTAGTCTATACTAACATTTTGTCATTTTATAAAGGCACCTTAAGCTGAATTTTGGGAAACAAATTTCAACATTGGGAAGAGTTTTGAAATAAAAGGAATAGAAAGTTTTCAATGCGTCCAAGTGTATGTTGTAACGTTGTCAATACTGAGCAAAGGCTGTAAGTCTTATTGTGCACTTTTCTCCACTATTGGTGCAATTTGAATTTTTCCTAGATAACCTCACTTTCTCCAAAGCCGATTTGGTCGCTGCTTGGAACAGAAAAGGGGCCGGGCTGAGCATCAAATGGCTGTACAATGTTTTTTTTTAACGCCATGCAAATAACAATGTGGATAATGCCGTTTTGAAAAAAAGCCACCTGTTTTTAATGGAAGTAATGGAAAATACGGTGCTTTCAGTCGGCTATTTTGGAAAAGAAGCGTCTGAGTCCGGAAACAAGCTGTATAAATCAGACAGGCGTCACCATTCAAGAAAACACTACCGATTACATTCCATCGCTGATGTGTTCAACAGAGCTATGGATACATCAGATCCAATTATTTCGTCCTTAATTTATCGAGATGCATACTAAACTAAAGAGTCTTTTACTTCCAATTGAGGTAATTGAGATGCTTTCGTACAAATACGAAAATAATGTTTTTCTCGAAGATGACGAATTTAACGATTCCAGCTTGTTTTTATACCCTTGCAGAGTGTATTATAATTTTGTCCAAAAGTGTGCAACGCAGTGAAGGAGACATCTCCGACCCAACAAAGTATATATATTCATGATCAGGATCACCTCCTGAGTTGATATGAGCATGTCCGTCTGTCCGTCGGTCCGTCTCTCAGTTTTAAAGCTATCTTCTTGAAACTTTGCACACACCCTTCTTTTCTTTGCACGCAGTATATAAGTCGGAACGGCCCGGATCGGCTATATCCTATAGCTGCCATATAACTGATTGATCGGAAATGGTATAACTTTAGTGTTTTTAGAGTTAGAGAGTTCAAATTTGACTTGAGAGCTATTTTTGGCAAAACATTACGACATGCCAAATTTCATAAGGATCGGCCGACTATATCCTATAGCTGCCATATAACTGAACGATCGCAAATGACCCAACTTTCGTGTTTTTGAAGATAGAAAGCTAAAACTTAGAACAGATTATATTTTTGGTCAGATAATCCGACCTACTCAATTTCATAAGGATCGGCCAACTATAGCTGCCATATAACTGAACGATCGAAAATGTTTTTTGGTAGAAATACCAACTTTGGTATTTTTGTAGATAGAAGTTTTGGACTTTTTTTTAGATTTTATATTATAATAAATTGGGTAGTATTATTTTATTCTCATAAGGATCGACCAACTATATCCGATGTTTGCGATATATATACGGTTTTAACTGCAAGGGTATATCAACTTCGGCTCCGCCCGAAGTTAGCTTTCCTTTCTTGTTTTTAGATAATATTGATATATTATAGAAAATGAAACAAATGAATAATAAGATTAATACTACCGTATGAAGGAATTTTTCATTTTCAACTTTTATATGCATTTTATGGAAGAACACTGAAATCCGGTATTTTAAACTGATAGTTCCCAGGAAAAGCGTTATCCAATTTGGTTCAAAATTGCTATATCGTATTAAAATAGCAACAAATATCAGCTTATTAAATTTCATTAATTTATCTTTACTTTTACCAAATCGTTCCTATGGGGGCTATAGGATATGGTTTCCTGATCCGAACGATTTCCATACTATATGTGCCTAGGATCAAATAATAACGATTGGTAAAGTTTCATGTCGATATCTCCAAAACTGACAGAGTTATTAATTAATGACACAAAAACAGGTAAAAAACCCCACAGTGCATTGAGGTGAAAATCTATCCTAGTTACTACTGCCCAGCACCAATAGCATGCAAGATTCATCGGCGTGTCTAGTACTACAGACTTACGGGAATACTGCAAAGTATTAGTTCGCGGGAAAGGGTTGCCTAACTTAAGGAATTCTCCCTTAAGCGACGTTAATTTTCAAGTCTTCTTAAGTCGTCCTATGTATAAGAAACTGGCTCATCAACTTCACATCTTCTCTGAACAACATATAAAATTAAGTAACTGCGCCATAGGTGGCAATGCCAGCTCTGGTCAATACCTCCTACAGTTATAGAGGGTGCGCTCTTCGTGTGGTTTTAAAGCCAGTTTTAGGGCACTCTTAGCTGCCATGAACTCCTCCGTTCTGGTTGTCAGTTCCTTTGTGCCTCTTGCTCTTTGAAAACGTCTTCTTGCATGGTTTCCTAAAATGATGTCCTAGTTCCACCAGTATACTGTAGATCAGTGGTCGCCACCCCAATACATTGATATGATTTGAACGCATTAGTTTTAGTAACGAATAGCAGAAAGTAGGCTGTGAGCATGACGTTTCACACATTTATACTGTGTGTGTGGCAGAGAAATATCCTATGCCCTCGGGATAGGGCCGTGCCGACCACTGCTGTAGATCCTCGTCTGCTGTATTTTCTCCTTGGTATGGCGCGGTCGCAGGCATTTACTATTGTTCCTTCGCTGCTCCTCCCGGGAAAGAAGATGATGGGGCCTAGTCAAACGTCTGAAGAGCTACCGAGATTGCTGATTTTCAGGTCATTCACCTTTTTTGAATTGGAAATTCGTTTCTTACATTTGACCTTTTGTACCTTCACCTCCGATGCGCTGCTTGAGTGGTCACTTAGTCACAGAACAACGCTTGGGCGCAAGCGTAAGAATGGGCGCCAGCGTACGTATTGAGCTAGCTCAGGGTAATCGGGGTCAACAATATATTTTGTAGAGTGTGACTGAGTGAGGTTCCAGCTCGATTATTGTCTACCTTTTGTCAATGGATTCCACTTCTGAACCCGGGTGTGCAGACTCAGATATAGTCTTTAGACTTTCGAATCCTCAAATAAGACTTCCGTCCGTTGGTCGCTTGTAATCTTTTTTAACTCTCTTCTACCTATGATAGCATATTCTCCATTCAGTTATCTGGCCCGCGCGGTGAAAAAGAAAGGAATAAGCGCAATGGAAGGTCACACTAATGCTCCGAAACGCTAGCAAGATTGCACTGACTTGTTTTGGGAAAAGCGTTATAGCATCAACAATTTTCATAATTTCGTATTGAAATT